ATATATAATAATTAATTTATATTAATTTTCGTTTAAAATTTGAATATCATCACTTAATGCAGATAACATTGAAATCTAAATCAATGAAAATTTGGCTAAAGTTTCATTCTTAAATAAGAGAATTTTATTTCATTAAAATTATCATAAATTTTTCATTTGACTCTTGAAATATTTAAACTTTCTATCTTTCTTTTAATTTAATTTACTTTCTTGAATCAGATTTTGTCTCACTCAGATCACATATCTAATATATCGTGATGTAACTCTTACCTCTAAGTGATGCAGAGCCTTGTAATGAAGGTGATGACATGCTGTTATCCGTTAAGTTAGATTTTTGAATATTCGTTCAATTTAAATTACTTTTGAGAAATTTACCAAGTTTTTCATCACTTCTAACTTGATTCAATTTTTATTCTTATCCAAACTGTTTGAGTTTACTTAATGTTTCGTAAAGTTATTCACTTAAATCTTTATTTATACTTAATCCTTACTTTTTAAATTATTATTATTTTACTATTTACTAATCACAATCAAAAATGAAAATATTCTTTCATTCCAATGACTAGAATTATTTCCACTAATATCAATAATATATTTACTGCTGCGAAATAATTAAACCACCGACCACGGCGACGTCCAAAATAATTCTAAAAGGCAACGAAGAAACTCTGCGATTGTCAATTTTTTATTTTTGTTGATTAACATTTTTTTGCCATGTGCATACGCACTAAGATTAATGCAAACAAGTATCTTAAATTGAGTGGTTGAAGGGAGTGTGAGACGAGTCTTTACTCATAGCAGGGAGAAAATCAAGTCGTGAGCGAGAGAGAATGTTGCTTGATGATAAGACTGACCTTGCCTAATATCCTACTACGATTCTTTTAGATACTTGCTTTGTGTTCGTGCTTGTTTTGATTTTGTATAATTTTTCCTTTCTAGGAAAGAGAATTTTCCTCTCTGGAACATGCGTAATAATGAACTCTCATTATCGCCCTTCTCCCTCTCGCTATGAAAGCAAAATCATGAATGGATTGGCGTTAGCATGCAATTCTTCTTACTACTCGCATACACGTTTTAAACTTGATGGATGTTTGATAGCTCATAATAAATTCTTATGAATCATTACAACTTCATTTGGAAGTACGATTTTGTGTTTATTTATGAATTTTCAATCTTCTTTTAATGCTTTTTGGCCAAAATTTGTAAGCTTAAAGAAGAATTTAATTCGAATTGTCTCGAATTTTTATATTTCGAACTATTAAATTAATCATAAAAATGATATAAATTTTCATGATTTTAAAATTTCGATTTATGTTGATATCAAAACTCATCTAACAGTTTAATTTACTTGCACAAGCATAGTCTCTCATTTCTCTTCATGCTATCTCGCTCTGTTTCTAATTTCACTCTTTATGCTGACCCTTTCAACTGGCTACCATTACTGTTTTATATCATCCAACTGCGCAATGGAAAGGTTTTTTTTTCTTTTCATTTAACCCTTGTCTTTTCTTGATTTTTAATTGCACATGGGAAAATGTATATTTTTGGATAACTCCGCCCAATTGAATGAAACTTTAGAAGTGAAAGTGTTGCTGTAAATTGACCACGTGCGTTTTTTTGTAATAAATTTTAAGTAAATGTTTTATGAATCTTGCGAAATTAGACTTCATTGGAAGGTATGAGTAGATGGAAGCATTAGAAATAAGAACTTTTCTAATTCATCTATTCAATCGACATCAAAATAATTGGATAATTTTATTTCAAGAAATCGGGAAATTTAGAATATTTGTTTTTGGATTTGAATAATTTTCTCCATTATTTATTAAAATTTCAAACAACCTGCATACTTGATAGGCATAATCAGTATGAATAGAAAACAATCGAGAATTTCTCGTTATTCTGTTGATGTTTAAAAAAAACTTCTTCATTGTTCATTCGAATCGTCCTCATTATCCAATTTATCTGAAATTATTGATTTCAATCATTTCGAAACTTATCAATGTTGAGTGGTCCTTTGACGTTGATTCGGAATTTCATCAAATGATTAAACCATTCCACTCTCAATCTATACTAACGAGTAAGTAGATATATTTATAGATGAAGCTCATGAATAAAATATGAGAACTCTGAACTGGCGATATTTGCCTTTCATTCCATCGCAATTTCTTAATTCTCATTAAACGAATTTAATAAGAAAAAAAAACGGTGCTGATAAGGGCCAAACAACAATCGTTGCGCGCTTCCATCTTCTTGCACCCTTAGTTTCGTTAACGAAAAGACAGAAAACTTTTCTCTTTGTTTTTCCGAAAGGGGATGTTCGCTTTTTTATAATGAAAAAAAGAAGAAATGCCGCAAGGAATGAAACGCGGAACTGGGCAAAGAAAAAGATAATCAGGTTTTCTGGAAGACATTGCGCTTTCATCGTATCATTTACAATGGAAAACAGTGAAAACTGTCGCTGAACCCTGTTCAAAACTTGAATTTACATAATGTGCCCTGAAATTAACTTGAAACGAAGTTTAATCTCATTACAATTTTTTATGAAGCTCAATATAAAAATGCGTTGACAACCAAGCTGCGTGAATGGGCAACGTAATGCTAAAGTATAATAACCAAGCGATGCCCCAAAGCGGGTTTTTGTAATCAACGGAAATGAAAGGTTGGTTTTGGTTTTTGTTTTAAATTTTTCTTTTGTTTTTTTTCCTTTCCTGTTTTATTCTTAAATAAGAAACAACTTAGGATGAGACTAAAATTATATTCAACTTTCATTCTTCAACGTCGAGGTAGTTTCAGCTTCAAACGATTTTGTTGATGCTTTTTCTTTGACGTTAGCTGGTGTAACAACTTCCTTGACAACCGAATCATTTGATTGTATTTTATTTTCATCGATCCTGTTTAGAATTTTTTCATTTTTATTATTAGCGTAAGCTTTGACGTCTTTTTCTTTTCCCTCAATCTCCTTAGCATCAGCTTGTGTTATATTTAGTTTGTTTGATTCTTTTTTCAAAGTAGTTGTGTCTTCTGTTGCAATGGTCACTTGTTTATCAACAACTAGAATATTTCTATTCTTTTCAGTTGAATTCTGGTTTATCTCAACAGGATCTCTTATTTTTTCGGGATATTGAACATTTGGGTAAACATTTTCGATGTACCATTTAAATGATTTACATTGTAAGTCTTCTCGCAATTTCTTTTGTTTACTCACATCACCATAATCAGTTCGTTTACGTTGACTTCTATAATAAAATCTTTTATATTCGTCAAGCCAAACTTCTGCAAGTCGATCAGTGTTACGCCACACAACGCCGTTTCCATTTGGCCACTGAAAAATTTGGAAATTTCATTTCACAATCTTTAATTTTCCTTCAAGAAAATTTAATTACTTTATAAGGAAACTTTTTCCTGAACAGATGCCCTACTCGAGAACAGGGTATTACTTCAACTAAAAGATTGTAGAAAACAAAATAAGCTTTCTTGAAGTAATTTAAATCGATATTGATATTCACCTTTACCACCACACATCCAAACCTTAAAAGGAAGTCTGAAAACACTTAAAATAATTACTGAGTCATAAATTTTTTTAATATTTCGACCAACTCTAAATTTTCAGCACCCCAAATATCAAATTCTTCGTCGTACATTCCTAAGAGTTCAAAATATTCTTTGTCGATTGTAAAGAAAGCTCCTAACATTGTTGGTGAATTTATGGGTTCATTAGGATCTTTTCGTCGCTTTAATTCGAATTCAGGAACTTCAATCCATTTGAAAATCATATTCCAATCGAATCCTAAAATATGACAAAAATTTTAGTTAACATTTATTAAATGAATTCTTATTTCTTAACCAGTAATTGGAATTCGGTTAGGATCCTTTCGATATCGATATTCCAATGTGTTCATGTCAAGAGTATCCACAACACTTATTGCTGTAATATTTTTGTTGATTGCAAGTCGATCTAAAAGTGGTTCAAGCCATCCAGGTGTTACTTCCATGTGTGCATCCATGAATATTAATGCCGGTCCTTTTGCATTCACACAGCCCATCATTCGAGCTTTTATCAAACCAATTCGTGTAGGTGATCGTATAATTCGAACTTTTGGTAGTTTGTCAACTTCCTTCTTCAATGGGATTCTGAGATTTTCTTTTGAGTTTTTATAGAAATTATAGAAAATATAAGTTAGTGTAAAAAATTAAGAATAAATCTCACCAATATCTGAACAATCATCAATCAAAACAATTTCACCGAGTAAATGTTCTGGGGATCTATTCAGAATTGAATGAATTGATCTTAGGATCATCGACATCGCTTCGTTATGAAAAACTAAAATGACAGATACTTTGGGAAGATTTTCAGAATATTTCATGTTCTTGCAGTAATCAGTTCTGATATCGGGAAGTTCCCGATCGAGAGGAACCAAACGAGATACAAATTCATTGATTTGATATTTATCTCTACTATTGTTGACCATCGTCTCTATATCAAAATCCAATTGTTTAGGCAACACAACCGGTGCCCCCAGATGTCCAGGGTTAGTTAAATTTAATCGCTCATGGAGTTTCAAAATTTCAGGTGATAATGTCGGTTTTGGTAGTATAACTTGCTTTAGCACCAGCTGTTCAGGTTTGTCGTGCAGTAATTCAATTTTTCTAACGTCATTACTTTTGACGTGGTTTTTGTTTTCCTTTTCTTCATAATATTCTTCAACTTCAACATCAATCTCATTATCATTTTTCTTCTGCTTGAAATCATTTTCCAAAACTTTTTTATTAGATTTATCTTCATACACTTCCAAGCGTTCTCTCTCTGCAACTCTTGCGAAGTTTCTATTAATTAATTGTTCAACGTCGATATCATAAAACTTCTTTTCCCTAATTTCCTCAAATTCTTTATTATCCCATGCTATTAGATAAAGTGCAACAAATATCCATAAGGAAAGAGCTAAATATAAAAATTTTAAAAAAACAGTACGGAAACAACGAAACATAACTTAATTTAGATTTGTAAAATATTTAAAAACAAAATGTCTATTCGCTATAGACTTTGACAAGCACTAAACTCTAAATGTAATGCAAAGTTTTTTTTAAAAAAGAATCACCGTCGTGCATTCATTCTTGCGAAATAAAATTTCTTTTTTATGTATTTTTAAATTTTATTGTCACGACTTAGGAATCGCCTTGATAAGCTAGGTAGCAACATTTATCTTATTATGCTTTCTTTATCTCTGCTTCTAAATTATATTAGGAAGTGTCATATTTTATGAAAACGTAGGTAGTTTAACTGTGAAACATAAAAGTCCTTTGAAAGTAGATTAATGAAATTCATTCCTATAAACAAAAACATTAAAATTTTTAATGAATAAGTAGGGGAAACAAAATATTTTTATGAAATTCAAGAATTTATGTCCTGGATAATCCTCAATTCATAATTTTCAATGCATGTTCCACAAATGAATTACCTAAATACTTGCAAGATGTCATTAATTAGAAATGGTGATGCGTTAATTAAAAATCGTTACTTAATTTTGAATTCAAATGCCACTCACAGGGTAACACAAAATATTTAAACTCCCAGGAATCGTTAATATTTGTTAAAATCTACCCAATAAACTTTAAAATGTAAACAAACTTTGAAAAAGTTGAATAATTGTATAAAAATATATAAAAGCGATGGATTTATCATGGGAATTGTGCCGGTTATGTGGTGAATACCAGATCATAGATGAACTTCAAGATATTTATGATCAGGAATTGAATATTTCATATAGATTGGAACAATCTTTGAAGATAATTCTAGATGACAATGAGTTACTTCCAAATTTGATTTGTAAAGAGTGTGTTGCTTCTGTAGACCAATGTTATCAATTTGCAGTATTAGTATCATCTGTACAAGACAGATTCAGTCTTTATTCACATGATCAACACGAGGTGGGAACGTTTGATTTCATAGCAATAGAGCCAGAGGAACAAGATTCCTTCTATGAAGATATACAATTAAAAGAACTGGAAATCAAAGTTGAAAGACTTGATCCAAGTGTTATCGAACAGTATAAACTTAAACATAATCCTTCAATTGAAGATAAGCCAGTAAATAAATCTGTAAAGTCTTTGTCAACTAAGAGAAGAACAAACTTGAACAAAAGGAAGAGAAGAATAAAATTTTCTTTGACGACAAGAAAGAAATGCAGAAATGTTCCGAAACGAATAACAAGGAATTCAACAGAATATCCTAATAGGAAGCTTAAAGAAAACGAGAGCTCATCCGAAAGTTTCGATGAAGTTTTAAGTCATCATACAAATAGTTCCGACAGTGAAGAAAAAATTATCAGAAAATTAAAGAAAGTAAATAATAAATCAAAAACAGATCACAACTCTAGAAATAAATTAAAAGTAAATAAGACATTGAGGAAATTAAGATGGAAACCTAGAATTAAAAATAAACTTTTGAATCCTGTTGAAATTCCTAACTCAGTTCGATATTCTTGCGATTTATGCGACAAAACTTTTACTAGAAAGGATGGAATTTCATGTCATATTATGAAGGAGCATGCGAAAAAACCTCTTAACATCATCTGCGAGATTTGTGCTGCTGGTTTCCATAATATGTATTATCTCAGGGCTCATCAGGTGAAAATGCATTCAAACGAGAAAAAGTCATATTTCGAGTGTAAAAAGGCAAATATCATTTTCTTTTAATCGTAATATTTAATTAATATTTTTATGATTCAATTTTTAGACATTCAAAACCAATACTCGCTGCACAAATCACATGAATAAATATCACAGTAATAAAAAATCAAAGAAAAAAACCACCAAAGTTTATCCATGTGAAATATGTGGAAAAAAACTGAGAACAAGAACTTGTCACAATCGTCATATGGTGGTGAGTTGAAACATGGGTAAGTTTTCATTTTAAACATTATTTTCTTCTTTAGATTCATACAGGAGATAAACCTAACAAGTGTATGTACTGCCCACGTTCATTCAAACATCATTCAGGTTTTCGATATCATATCAGAGCAGAACATACCGGCGAACGTCCCTATTTATGTCCCATCAAAGGTTGCAGTGAAACTTTCATCGATAATCCAAACGGCAGAAAACATATTTTGGTTTATCATGGCTTAAAAGATCTGAAACCAATTCTGAGATGAGTTAATAAAATTTGTTAATTTATTTTCAAATTATTCATTTTTATTTGGTTTATTTGAATTCAATCCACATAATCAGTATTAATTTATTAAACATATTGTGATGAAAAAAACACTCTAAATCTACATTTAATATTTATGGCTATATTTAATGTGACTCTTCAAATGGCCTATACTTTGACAACAAAGTCCACAATCTAAGCATTTATAAATTCCTATGTTTCTGGGATAATCTCCTGGATGTTGCACATGATAATGCTTAGCTAAACTTGGAACATCAAAGAAGACTTTGGAGCATACAATGCAACAAAACTTCAAGCATTCGTTGTGTCTTGTCATATGGTTGACGTAGCTGTTGAAACCTTTGGGTCCTGCGAAAGTTCTGTGCTCACATAAATGACATGATACAGAATATTTCGCCATTGAGACATTATGAAGAATGTAATGATTTATAAATTTATGAAGACCTCGAATTTTTTCATCACAATGTTCATGGCATTTATACAAAAAGTTGTCCCAAGACTGAAAGTGTTTAAATCTGGTGAGCCAAAGTCGTGGAACTTCATTGTCTGCTAACAACTTTGATTTATCAATCATTATGTTTTCGAATGGTTGTAATTTACTTTTCGGAATGTTTCGAAAAATTTCTTCAACCTTTTTGATACTCTCAGAAATACTCTAAAAGAAAAGAAAGAAATTATATTTATTAGATGCTAGAGTTATAGAACTTTACAGGATTTATATTGTTATTACGCATTTTGAAGTATTTTTCAATGGTACCTCGCTGTAAAAGCTCAAGCTACGAACCCTCTTGAATGGTATTGGAGATTCCTTTTCAGGTTCTGGACGCTCATGAAACATACTCATTCTACGTTTCTTAATCTTTGGCTCTTTAGTTGTCTCAAAAGTAATCGATGGATCGAAGAAAACTTTTTGCTTTCTTATTCTTTTACTTTTTAGCCCAGAATCCTCACAATCATCCTCAACAGAATTGCTTTCTTTTAATTCAGAGCCACTGTCTCCCTCGCAATCTTTAAATGAATCATCTGATACATCAAAATCCTTTTCATCACATCCTGCACTTTTAATGGCTTCAGGAGATTTATCTTTCAGAAACGGTTTTTCATCCATTTTATCCGGGCTTCTGTAATTTTTTGTACAGCTCTGCTCCTTGAAGAGCATTTGAGCCTCTTCCACTTTTAATGTAAACATAGAGAATGCCCCAATAGTTGTCTTACAAACATTACACACAAGATCAGGAAGTGCTTTATTCTTATCAAATTCAATTCGAGTATAAAACTCTACGATGTCTACGAATAGAAGATCCTGATTTGGTGCGATGACATCATTCAGCGATATAACGAGATCTTCTTTAGGTTTCTCATCACCACACATACGACAGATACTCATATTTAAATTTAATGTTCTTCTTTTATTTTCAGTGATCCCAAAATAAAAAAAATAATGAAATAACTTTACAATTTTTCGCACTATAAATACAACTATCCAAATGGACAAAACATCTGGTTCAACGAAACAATAACAAAACATTGAAAACAAAACATTGGAAACATTCTTGCATTGTTTTCGTCAAGGTTTTCGTGGTTGCTGAAACTTTCTGCATGTTTTCTTAAGAAAACATTTTTTTAACTAAAGAAAGACTATGCTCAGTCTCTACCAAGTCTTTATTTGTGCATGTCGCGAAAAATTGTTGGCTTTATTTTTCGTCACTTCATTCAGTATAGTTTTAACCGTTCACTCGGAAAGTGTGACTCTTATTAAGGGGTAATTGAACGGCAAACGTGATAATTGAAATTGACGTGAATTATTAGTAAAAAAATTACAGTAACTATTTTCAGAAGAATATAAAAATTATTCCAATTCATTAGTTTATATAATTCAAATTATTGCATCTGAAGAGAGTGTTAAAATTTTGGTTTCAAAAATCCTATTTAAATATTAAAATTTTCGACAGCACAAACTTGCATCAGAAAAATAAATAAAAACAGTTTGGATTATTAAGTAAATCGTTTTGCAACCAGACTTCCGCAAAATCGATAGCTGTAAGTAACATTTTTCTCACTCTATATACGTAGTAGGATAACAAAAACAGTCAACCTAATTGTGGTGATAAAAAGTAAGCAATCAGAGAGTAAACTTTCTTCAAGTTGCGCTTTCACTTTCGTATGATTTCTCTCTCATAGTCAATCCGGAATCTTCAAGCGAGTTAAAGCTAAAGCGTCTTACGGAAAAAGAGAAGAGAGATTTTATCGCGAATTATGGAAAGAAATAAATATTGAAGTCGTGATAATAGTTTATAAAACTTTTTGAAAAGATTATGTGTCAAACGATTGTCCAATTTATTTTTGGTCATAACTTAATAGCGATGCTATAATTTCAAATAATTTCGCGCGTGAATAGGTTCATGATCATTTCATAATTTACACAAGACAACAAAAATTACTTCACGAGGGTTTAAAAAATAGATTTTCTCTCAATATTACAATATAAATCGTTTAATTGTGATTGAATTATTCACTCAGCATTTAAATGAAACTCGACAAAGCGAATAACTCGTACCTAGTTTAAGTCAGAAGAGAACACACCTAGTTTCCTTAATACTACAGAGAATCGAGTCTTATTTCTAATAATTGTAAGTTCAAAACTTTACAGTCTTAAAATTCGTTTGTGAAAATTATAAACTGAGTCAATGAATGTTTGAATTTCGTTTTTTTTTTCATCAAATCGTGTCGCTTATAAGTTATAAGTTTTAAGATTGCATGTTTACCATAACAAGCAGTTGCGAAGATGTGAAAAAAAACATTGACATTTTACAATCGTTACATCAAAATATTGATTTGAAGACGATGCCATGGGTAAGTTGAACAGACATCGAACTTAAACATTCCTGATGAGAATAATGGATGTCGCTCGATAAAATTTATGACATCATTAATGACATTATTGTTTGAGTTCTCATGTGAATGACATTATTTCTGCAAGTCAACGATGCGCTAAATCTTCCATTGAACTTGAATTACGAAGAATGCGTGGTATTTATTACCAATGAGTCAACCAAAGCTTTGCTATTAATGCTTCTTGATTTCTCACCTCGAATAAGAAATATTATGACTGTCTTTGGTAATCGGAAAAGTTAATAAATAACGAAAGTTATTAATTGAATTACAAAAAGCATTAATTTTTAATTGAAATTTTGAATTATGCAGATGTATAAATTAATAATACATTAAATTAAGCATTAAGATTAATCATAAAATTGAAATGAAGAGGCATAGAAGTGAAAAAGAAAACGTTATATCGGAAGCATTGCAAACTCTCTTTTTGGTATTGCGAAGTAGCTTATGTTCGGTAATTAAACATTTATTTAGTTATTTGTCTGTTAACACCTGGTGAATATCAAAGTTCATTATACTTTATACCGCGACAGACGCTTTAATCACATAACATTTAAAAATGCTTAAAGCATCACATAACAACATCTTCGGTTGCTCAAAGTGGAACACACGAGTTTCGATGAAGGAATGAAAAATACTTTCACTTAAGCTTCTTTTTTTTGTCGTTAAAAAATATATTTTAATTCTAAGATAAATATTGAAATGTCATAAGATCGTTGAACTTTTTAAAAAGAATGCGGAAACTTTCTTCGAAGAGTTCTTGTGGTCTTACATTATCTCGTTATTTATTCATTATTTTATGCAAACTATCTTACATGCTGTTCATTTTGTTACTCATTGTTCCGTACCGTACGAAAGAAAAATATAAATTAAGAAAGACAAAGAATGTTCGGTTAATTTTATTTTAACAATCATAAGAGAGTTCAGTTACAGCGGAACATTGGCGAATAAATTCTCGACTTCATTCAAGCGCTTTTCTTTTTCACGGTGAAACCTGCTGTAAAAAATTGCAAAACATATTCGCTTTAATGGTCGGTAATTTATCGATTTTTGAAAATTATATTACAGTCATTGATCGCCCGCCCTCCTATTTACGTTGCCGAAACTTAAGCAATGTCTTGTTATAGCAACACAACATTACGTTTGACTTATAAATTTTTATGTTACCTTTTGTCTTAAGTTTTTCTTCACGGTCTGCAACAATCTTTTTATATTTTATTTTTTACATAAATTTCTTAGTAACTACAAATTGCTTTGCAATTGTGCTTCATAAATGTCTAATAAACGTGGTGTCATGTTTTTCTCCCCGTTTCTCTTCGAAACAAGAAATAAAAGTTTTGCTCAGACACTTCATAAGAAAACATGCAAAGATGATAAACATCAACTAAAATTCATTCAAATTATGTTGTTGTTATGCTTTGTGAACTATTGAGTTGTGATTTTATGAATAGTAAATTTTTTTTCTGGTATTTATGATGACTTTCACTTTTCATCAGCTGAGCAAATCAGAAAAATAGGTCAGAAAAACGAGTTCAAGATGCTCTGCTATGAAGAATTGTTTTCTTCTTGATGATAACTCGTATTAGCGAGATTATTTTCTTCTTCTCTTTGCTAACTTCATTTACGACTCAACACTAGCCACAACATCATCGTTATTTTAACCTTGATCATGAGACAAGGAGATTCCGCAACTTGTCTTATTAATCCTATCTTAAGTTGCTATCGTAATGATTCATCATATAAACCATCGATTGAACATTCAAATCGTATGTCGATGAACTTCAATTTCTTTGCGGTTTATTTTGGCAAAATTTGAAACGTTGCGAACTGTTTCTAATTAAATTAAGTCAACTTGAGCCAATCATCAGGAACTGTGAATAAGCATGGAGATATGTGAAGGTCACAAAACAAATCAATTTGCTACAGTTTTCAGTGGCGAAGTGAGAAAGAAAAAAATATTTTTATGTTCCAGTATTCAATATCCTTAGGCATGCGCCAGTAGTTTTCGTTTGTCCACAAGTTTCGTTACAAAAATAAAAACTTACTTAGGAATTTCCATGTTTTGTTTAGTTAAGGCTTACAACATTTTACCACTTGTAGTGCACTAAATTACCCACTTAAAATGCGTTATGTAACATTCAAACATTCCCTAATGAAATAATTATTGTGAACTGGGTGTGTGCATTATGGGTGTGAATTCAAATTGATGTTGTAGCTAAGGTCATTCTTAAATCGTCGAGACAAGCACAAGGTAGTTAAATTATCTAATGAACAAACTTCAAAGAGGCGTTGAGATGTTCAATTGTTCTTGCGTCGTTGTTCAAATTTATTTTTCTCGCCAAATGCTTCTTAGACTTTTTTTTTGTGAAAACTTACTTAAGAGTAAAAAAATAATGAAAAGCATTTAAACAACGCTGAATTTAATTAAAAATCCATTTAATTGAGATCATTGAAAAGAGGTTCACAACTCAAGACACAAAGATTAAGGAGCGGTGAGTGATTTTCGCAAGATTCTTGTTCATATCGAAAATTTGTTAAGCAACTTTTACGACTGATCAAGATAAAGAAAAGAAAAACGTGAATCTATGTTTGAATTTCAAGTCGCTTGACTTTTCGCACCATGAAACAATTTAAAATATTGAACACGCGTTTTTTATATTTTCACTTTACATTTCTCAGCTATTTTTTTCTTTCTTCATGTTATACGCAGACAATGTGCCGTTCATCACATTACGTAAGCAAGATTCACTTTTCATAGTACGCGGTAATTTGTTAACCGATTCGTTCCACAGAATTGAATGTTAAAACAACCAACTTAATTGAATTGTATACCATGATCGTGAGCTGACAAAGACCCCCGAAAACAGTTGGAAAACTTATTTTAAACGAAAAAATAAATGAAACGCAACACAATTTACTATTAATCAACGACACATGCGGCAAGGCAAGATGTGTCATGCGATCCAAGCCACTTTTCAGGCCTCTGTCAAGAATCATAAATTTGATTAAAAATCAAAATAATATTTTGCGAATACAAACACGAATTCATAAAGTTTCATGTTTACATATAGGTCAGATAATTGAAGATTCGTATTAAATATGAAACCATGTCAATTAAAAGATCGATGGGGATCGTCGAATGACCTAGACATGCAAATTGTATTTTAATCCACTTAAGGATATTTTTGTTTGTCATTTTTCTCGCTTCTAGCTTGACCTTCCTTCTCAACTTACTGATGATCTACGACATCTTTAAATAAAAACTTTTAAACATCACGACGATGTTGAAGTGCAAAGAATGGTTTTGTTTTTGTGTTTTTTTTTCTTTTTTGTTTTCGTTGACCTTCAGAACGTTATTAAATGCTCGTTTTCTCATGAAATGTTCTTCGTTTTGCGTGTCAAAGTGCAAAGCAAATATTTGAAGAGACAAGACGCAAAAATGAATCTGTAAAGATCTGACCCTCTTAAGGTAAAAATAGTTGAGATTTGTGATCAAGCCTTACTGATTGTAATTAAGTATTCTTCCGCGATCACAAGCTTTGATGACAGTTATCATCTATAATAACATATTTCTGAGGTACTTTAATACATTTATGCCTACCACAAGCTCACTACGTAATCAATCTTAATTTACCATCTTAAAACTTGTAAATAGCTTACGGCCATCAGGATGACTTGCTGTCAGCTTCTTGTAACTTCAATGATTATGTCATTTGTCTAATTCCTGACTCACGAGTCAAAAGAAAGACAAAAAAAAACACTTCGCTTGCTTTCATATAAAAAATGTATTACAATAAGAAATATATTCGTTGATTTGAATGGTGTATAAAAATGGAAAACTATTTATGAAATGAATGTTTACATTTATGTGCTTATTCAAGCAGTTCAGAATTCTCATAAAAACGCTGAAATTAAAATTAGAGATTGAAAAATGTTCGATATTCATGCAATAGAAAGGAAAAAGAAAAACTTCAATGCCAGCACAGACCAGTAAAATTGTTTCGCTTAGAAAAAATGTTTGTAAGTTGAATTAGGCAAGAAGAATATAATAATATTACTTATGCAAGTGTGAAGTGGTGTTAAGAAAATTAATTAGTGTCAATTTCGAATTTTCAACATTAAAGTTATCTACTCAAATGTTTCTTTTGTGCTTACTTAGTTTAAATGTTGAAAACTTATTTCATGTTCTAGCTTCATTGATTCAATTGAAAACTTCCTTTCAAAAAATATTCTTGAAATCACCAAGGAGAACTTAAAAACCTAAATAGATCTGTCAATAATTCGAAATATGTTGCTCGTTGTTACATTTGATATATTTTAATGTTTTTGTTTCCTTAATTCTACTTTGAAATGAATTCGCCCTTAAGGACAAGTGCATTCGTAACTATTTAATCAAGTTCATGGATATATTCTTCAAAAGAAATTCATTAAGAATTTGTTAGAAAATTAAACTTTATTTGTTTAGAAGCATGGACAAGCATAAAACACTGCTGGTGTTAGTCATAAATTAATATTTTAGTCCACTTCTTTATTATTTATAATTACCCGTTATGTGCAGTTTTTCATATAGTTTGCTGTTCCACCTCTAATTGTTTCATTTAAAGCTAAATTAAAAACTTATTGCAAGCATTGTTAGATAATAATTTAAGATAAATATAAATACGAACATCCTTCTTTTCACATTTCGAGAATACCTAGGGTAAAACAAGGTATTGTGAACACAATGTTTTTTGTAAGGTATTTGAACTATCTACTCTACTTCTATACAAAGTTTTGATCCATTTGAATGCAAAATAGCGAAGAAAATCGCATTCGAAAATTAGGTGTGTTCACAATACCTTACAAAAAACATTGTGTTCACAATACCTTGTTTACCCTATTTAAAATGTTTAAAATTTATTCATTTATAACTTCGAAGCAAATCAAACATAAAAAGTAACTCAAGGTTCTTTGAAGTGCTAAGATGAAGCTGATCAAGTTACAATTTTGCTTGATTCTTATTATAAAATTTGCAGTAAGCAACGATGAGAATAAATTATTTTTTTTTTCTTTCAAATCTTTTTCTCAGCAAGGAAATCCAGAAGGAAAAATACATTGGTCGTCAGTTAGTTACACCTCTAATCCAGCTTACTTCTCGGATTATAGTGTTAACATATTTAACGACACAGATGGTGAAACAAAATGTAATGCGACTTTTACTCAATTAGAGGACATGGAAAAGCTTATAATAACAATTGTAATTAAACAAAACTCCAAGAAAGGCATGAAAGATTTTGATCGTGAATTATTAAGAATTAATGCAGATACTTGCAAACTATCCCAAGGCACATTCAAAAATTATGTTGTACGCAACATTTATAGAGAAGTTAGAGAGTTTTCCAACATAAAATATTCATGTCCTCAGCCAAAAGGTACATTCTATATCAGAGAACTTNGGAATACCTATTTGAAATGTTTATAATTTATTCATTTATAACTTCGAAGCAAATCAAACATAAAAAGTAACTCAAGGTTCTTTGAAGTGCTAAGATGAAACTGATCAAGCTACAATTTTGCTTGATCCTTTTTTTAAAATTTGCAGTAAGTAACAATGAAAATAAGTTAAAAATTTTTCTCTAAATTCTTTTTATCAGGAAGGAAATCCTGGAGCAAAAATATATTGGTCGTCAGTTACTTACACCTCTAATCCAATGTACGTTTCGGATGTTAGTACTAACATATTTAACGACACAGATGGTGACACGAAATTTAATATGACTGTAACTCAATTAGAGGACATGGAAAAGTTATTAATTACAATTGTACTTATACAAAACTCCAAGAAAGGCATGAAAGATTTTAATCGTGAATTATTAAGAATTAATGCAGATACGTGCAATCAATTCAAAGGCACATTCAAAAATGCTATTGTACGCAACATTTTCAGAGATATTAGAGAAGTTTCCAACATAAAATTTTCATGTCCTCAGCCAAAAGGTATATTTTATATCAGAGAACTTGTATTGCCTGGTTCTATACCGTTTATGGATAAATTTATAAAGTACGCTTTAGAAGGAGACTTCGAAATGACTGTGCTGATTCGAGCAAAACCATTTAAAAAAAAATTAACCAACGGTGTTTCTGTGAAAGCTTATGGAGTTTTTACATATGAATGAAAAGCAAACATCTTTTGAAAGCTTAACAAATAGATGAATAAATTCTATTTTCTAATAAATATTCTGAACGAATTTTTATGAATAATTACTTTTTGGTTATATGATGATGCGATTGTTGAAAGAAATCACGGAGGGTTCGCTCTAGGATGGTATTGAATTTACTCAAAGTTTCAATATAATTTTAGCAGGGATCGATTTGGTTGATATTTTCGTGTTCATCTGTGTTCACCATGATCCAATAAATCTTTCTTTACTAAGAATTAGAGTTATCTACTCAAATGTTTCTTTTGTGCTCACTTAGTTTAAATGTTGAAAACTTATTTCATATTTCTGCTTCATTAATTAAATTAAAAACTTCGTTGCAAAAAATATTCTTGAAATCATCAAGGAGAACTTAATTGAATGAGCATTCCAAATAGTTTCAACTCAGATCTGTCAATAGTTGAAAATATGTTGTTCGTTATTAAGTTTCCTGATCTCCTTTTAGGTAAAACAAATATTTCTATTAGAGAGGAAAAATAACATGTTCATAGTAGGGTAATCAAACACAGTCCGACGTCATTAAACGTTGATCATGGCAGGATTATCTCTGTTCCTTAATTTTAATTTGAAATGAATAGTTGTAAGAATTTCCCTTTTTGTGAATTAAATTTTTTTTATAATTTACTGTTCCACTTATCATTGCTTCGTTTAAAGGTAAATTACAAAATTTATTGCAAACATTGTTTGATAATAATTTAAGATAAATATAAATACGAACATCCTTCTGTTTCAATGTAGAAAATATTTAAAATGTTCAGACTATGTTCATTTCTAACTTCAATCATAAAAAGTAACTCAAGGTTCTTCGAAGCCCTAAAATGAAGCTAATAAAGATACAATTCTGCTTTATTCTTTTTTTAAAATTGGCAGTAAGTGGCTTACTGTTAAGATAAAATATTTTTTCTCTAATTCTTTTTTCTCAGAAAGGAAATCCAGAAGGAAAAGTTTATTGGTCGTCAGTTACTTACACCTCTAACCCAATGTACGTTTCGGGTTTTGGTGTGAATAAATTTAACGACACGGATGGAAACACGAATTTTAATATGACTTTCACTCAATTAGAGGACATGGAAAAGTTATTAATTACAATTGTAATTATACAAAATTCTAAAGACATGAAAGATTTTAATCGCGAACTCTTAAGAATTAATGCAGATACATGCAAACTATCCCAAGGAATATTCAAAAATTTTGTTGTGCGCAACGTTTTCAGAGATATAAGAGAGTCTTCCAACGTAAAATTTTCATGTCCTCAGCCAAAAGGTACATTCTACATCAGAGAACTTATATTGCCTGGTTCTATTCCGTTTGTAGATAAGCTTCTAAAGTATACTTTGTATACAGGAGAATTCGAATTTACTTTGCAGTTTCGAGCAAAACCATTCAAAAAGAAATTAACCAACGGTGCTTGTTTGAAACTTTATGGAATTTATAGATTGGAATGAAAAGCTTTTGAAACATTTTTTGAAAACTTAACAAATAGATGAATAAATTTTATTTTTCTGATAAACATTCTGAACGAATTTTCAAAAATAATTATTTTTCGGTTAGATGATGAGATGATTGTTGAAAGAAATCAAGAAGGTTTTGCACCAGAGATGGGCAAATTGCACGCTCAACTCGATTGACTGACTGACTGACATGTCAATGTCAGTCAGTCAGTCAGTCAAATCACAACTCTGTTTTGCACTAGGGAGACATTGAATGCACTCAAAATTTTCAAAAAGATATTTCTTACTACATTGATGAAATTAAAAGCAGGAATCGGAACTGTTTCAATTGGATGTTTTCATGTTCATCTGTGTTCATAATAAGCCAATTAATCTTTCCTTACTAAGAATTAGAGTTATCTACTCAAATGTTTCTTATGAGCTCACTTAGTTTAAATGTTGAAAACTTATTTCATATTTCTGCTTCGTTTATTAAATTAAAAACTTCGTTGCAAAAAATATTCCAGAAATTATCAGAACTTAATTAAATGAATATTCCAAATAGTTTCAATTCAGATCTGTCAATAGTTGAAAATATGTTGTTCGTTCTTAATCATCTTTTGGGCAAATCAAATGTTTTTATTAGAGAACCGACATCATGAAACGCCGGTTATGGCAATATAATTATCTCTGTGCCCTTAAGTCTACTTTGAAATGAATAGTAGTAAGAACAAATACATTCCTAGCTATGCAGACAAGTTTATGGTAACATTGCTAAATTCATTACGAATTTTTTAAAAAACTAAGTTTATTTAGAACATCATTAATCTTAAAACACAGTTAGTGCTTTCCATAAATTTATTTTTGTAGTCCTCTTCTTTAATAATTCTAATTGCCCTTTTTGTGATTTTTTTCTTAAAATTCTGTTGATGACAGTGCCCCACTTATAATTGCTTCGTTTAAATCTAAGTTACAAAATGTATTGCAATCATTGTTTGATATTAATTTAAGATAAATATAAATACGAACATCCTTCTGCTTTAATTTTGAAAATATTTAAAATGTTCAGACTTTGTTCATTTCTAACTGCGAAGCAAATCAAACATAAAAAGTAACTCAAGGTTCTTTGAAGTGCTAAGATGAAGCTGATCAAGTTACAATTTTGCTTGATTCTTATTATAAAATTTGCAGTAAGCAACGATGAGAATAAATTATTTTTTTTTCTTTCAAATCTTTTTCTCAGCAAGGAAATCCAGAAGGAAAAATACATTGGTCGTCAGTTAGTTACACCTCTAATCCAGCTTACTTCTCGGATTATAGTGTTAACATATTTAACGACACAGATGGTGAAACAAAATGTAATGCGACTTTTACTCAATTAGAGGACATGGAAAAGCTTATAATAACAATTGTAATTAAACAAAACTCCAAGAAAGGCATGAAAGATTTTGATCGTGAATTATTAAGAATTAATGCAGATACTTGCAAACTATCCCAAGGCACATTCAAAAATTATGTTGTACGCAACATTTATAGAGAAGTTAGAGAGTTTTCCAACATAAAATATTCATGTCCTCAGCCAAAAGGTACATTCTATATCAGAGAACTTATATTGCCTGGAGCTATACCATTTTTGGATAAATTTCTATTGAATTCTTTTAATGGGTACTTTGAATTTACTATTTATGTTCGAGCAAAACCATTCAAAAAGAAATTAGCCGATGGTTTATGTATGAAAGCTTTTGGAGTTTATACAAATGAAGGAAAAGCTTGAAAAAACAAATAAATGAGTAAATTCTATTTTTTGATAAGCATTCTGAACGAATTCTTATAAAAATTTATTTTTGAATTTATGTTTGTACATTCAATAACAAGTTAATAAAATTCAAATTCAAAAAATGATTTTTCGGTTAGAAGATTAATGAAATCGTGAAGGATTCGCCCTACCTAGCATTGAATTCACTCAAATTTAAACAAAACTAATATTTTTTTGCTTTACCATAACTAAAGCAGAGATGGGAACTGATTGATATTGAAGATTATTAATTCCATCTTAGACAAAAGAAAATTCGTTTTCCTTCTCAATGATCTATGTACCTTTATTAGAGGTTTGGCACACCAGGAACTAACAATTGATTTCCTCAAAACACTAGGTAGCGGTATTTTTCTTTCATTTGAATCTTGTATTTTGGAGAAATTGTTGGTAAGAGAAATATGTAGATTTTTCTAACAATTACTTTTAAAAAATTATGATGTTTCTTTAGACTGAGAAAGCTCAAGAACGACATTTTCAAAATGTGCTAGAAGTTTAAGTGAAAAACTTTTATCAATGATTTTGATCATTTGTAACATCAGCCTATAAAAAAAATGGAGACAAATTTCATTCCATCAAGTTTGCACTGCATTATTTTAAATTTTATAATATTCCTTTGAAATTTATTAACTCCACCAATCTAGTTTTCTTTAAATTCAATAGCTTTTTTAGAAAAAGGTGAAAATATTTCAGATTTTTTCAAGAATTGCATACACTTCGGATATTAGAAATTTTTCCGTTACTCATGTTACAGGTTAGCATGAAAGTCTCTTTTTCTCGAGCATGAAAGTCTAAATAAGCATACAAAATTTTAGTAATTGAACCTAAGTTAGGTTTTTAAAAATATTGGTAAGTATCTAACATTTGTTTATTTTTTTTGTAAAGAAAATTAAACTTTGTAACGTTTTCATTACTGTCCTTACATGCATTATTTAAATGTTTCGATTTTTTTCTAGCCATGAAAAGGAATATTTAAAGTGTTAATATCATCATAAACTACCTATTACCTCAAGATTTGTATCAAGAAAATAAAGTGAAAATTGATGTTTATGATGGAAACTTCAAATGTTGAAAATAAGGGAAAAAAACATACCGGATTAAGTACTGGAACCTCATTTTTAATTATTGTCTGACATTATCTCTATCAAAAATTATTTTCAATGATGCTAAAAATATATCACTTTATCATTATTTCCAAATGCCATACTTATGAATTTTTTCGAATAATTTACTATTCCACTTATTATCGTTTCGTTTAAAGCTAAATTAAAAAATGTATTGCGAACATAGTTTGATAATAATTTATTAGCCTTAAATACGAACATGCTTCTGTTCAAATGTAGAGAATATTCAAAATGTTTATACTTTGTTCATTTGTAACTGTGAAGCAAATCAAACAAAAAGTAACTCAAGGTTCTTTCAAGCCTTAAAATGAAACTGATCAAATTAAAATTTTGCCTGATTCTTTTTTTACAAGTAACGATAAGAATAAGTTAAAATTTCGTTTTCTAAATTACTTTTCTTAGCAAGGGAATCCAGAAGGAAAAATATATTGGTCGTCAGTTACTTACACCTCTAACCCAATCTACTTCTCGGATATTAGTGCTAACATATTTAACGACACAGATGGTGACACGAAATTTAATATGACTTTTACTCAATTAGAGGACATGGAAAAGTTATTACTTACAATTGTCATTATACAAAACTCCAAAAACATAAAAGATTTTAATCGTGAATTATTAAGAATTAATGCAGATACGTGCAATCAATTCAAAGGCACATTCAAAAATGCTATTGTACGCAACATTTTCAGAGATATTAGAGAAGTTTCCAATGCAAAATTTTCATGTCCTCAACCAAAAGGTATATTTTATATCAGAGAACTTGTATTGCCTGGTTCTATACCGTTTATGGATAAATTTATAAAGTATACTTTAGAAGGAGACTTCGAATTAACTGTGCAATTTCGAGTAAAACCATTCAACAAGAAATTAACCAACGGTTTTTCTGTGAAACCTTATGGAGTTTATAAATTTGAATGAAAAACAAACATCTTTTGAAAACTTAAATAGCATGAATAAATTTTATTTTTTGATAAACATTCTGAATGAGATTTTATATATAACTATTTTTGGTTAGATGTAGAATAAATGACGAAGGATTCGACCTAAGGGTGGCATTAAATTCACTCAAAATTTTTGAGATGATCTGTGTCCGTTTTCAGTCAATAAATCTTTCATTACCAAAATAGTAATAGAATCAGCAGGTGAAATTTTAAGAAAATCAATCTTATTTAAAAATAATTTAAATGAAGTGTTCTTTTTCAATTATTCTATATTTTGATCTACCTCTATCAGAGGTTTGGCTCACCAGGAACTAACAATTAAAATAAATGTGAACAAAAAAATAATTTATTTCCAATTGCCTTGTCGTTAGTTTTTTTCTTATAATTTACAGTTTCACTTATCATTGCTTCGCGCAAAGGTGAATTACAAAATTTATTGCAAACATTGTTTGATAAAAATTTGAGATATCCAAATATAAATACGAACATCCTTCTATTCAAATTTCGAGAATATTCAAAATGTTTATATTTAATTTGTTTCTAACTGCGAAGCAAATCAAACATAAAAAGTAACTCAAGGTTATCTGAAGTACTAAAATGAAGCTTATCAAGTTACAATTGTGCCTGATTCTTTTTTTAAAATTGGCAGTAAGTAACAATAAAAATAAGTTAGAATTTTTTCTCTAAATTCTTTTTCTCAGCAAGGAAATCCAGAAGGAAAAATAAATTGGTTGTCAGTTGTAAATAACTTTAACCCAATTTACTTCTCGGATATTAGTGCTAACATATTTAACGACACAGATGGTGACACGAAATTTAATATGACTTTCACTCAATTAGAGGACATGGAAAAGTTATTAATTACAATTGTAATTATACAAAATTCTAAAGACATGAAAGATTTTAATCGCGAACTCTTAAGAATTAATGCAGATACATGTAAACTATTCCAAGGCACGTTCAAAAATTATATTGTACGCAACATTTTCAGAGATATTAGAGAAGTTTCCAACGTAAAATTTTCATGTCCTCAACCAAAAGGTTCATTCTACATCAGTGAACTTATATTGCCTGGTTCTATACCGTTTATCGATAAATTTCTAAAGTACGCTTTAGAAGGAGAATTTGAATTAACTTTGCAGTTTCGAGCAAAACCATTCAAAAAGAAATTGACTGACGGTGTTTCCGTGAAACTTTATGGAATTTATACATTTGAATGAAAATTTAACATCTTATTTATGAAAACTTAAAAAATAGATGAATAAATTCTATTTTCTAATAAATATTCTGAACGAATTTTTATGAATAATTACTTTTTGGTTATATGATGATGCGATTGTTGAAAGAAATCACGGAGGGTTCGCTCTAGGATGGTATTGAATTTACTCAAAGTTTCAATATAATTTTAGCAGGGATCGATTTGGTTGATATTTTCGTGTTCATCTGTGTTCACCATGATCCAATAAATCTTTCTTTACTAAGAATTAGAGTTATCTACTCAAATGTTTCTTTTGTGCTCACTTAGTTTAAATGTTGAAAACTTATTTCATATTTCTGCTTCATTAATTAAATTAAAAACTTCGTTGCAAAAAATATTCTTGAAATCATCAAGGAGAACTTAATTGAATGAGCATTCCAAATAGTTTCAACTCAGATCTGTCAATAGTTGAAAATATGTTGTTCGTTATTAAGTTTCCTGATCTCCTTTTAGGTAAAACAAATATTTCTATTAGAGAGGAAAAATAACATGTTCATAGTAGGGTAATCAAACACAGTCCGACGTCATTAAACGTTGATCATGGCAGGATTATCTCTGTTCCTTAATTTTAATTTGAAATGAATAGTTGCAAGAATTTCCTTTTTTGTGAATTAATTTTTTTTTATAATTTACTGTTCCACTTATCATTGCTTCGTTTAAAGGTAAATTACAAAATTTATTGCAAACATTGTTTGATAATAATTTAAGATAAATATAAATACGAACATCCTTCTGTTTCAATGTAGAAAATATTTAAAATGTTCAGACTATGTTCATTTCTAACTTCAATCATAAAAAGTAACTCAAGGTTCTTCGAAGCCCTAAAATGAAGCTAATAAAGATACAATTCTGCTTTATTCTTTTTTTAAAATTGGCAGTAAGTGGCTTACTGTTAAGATAAAATATTTTTTCTCTAATTCTTTTTTCTCAGAAAGGAAATCCAGAAGGAAAAGTTTATTGGTCGTCAGTTACTTACACCTCTAACCCAATGTACGTTTCGGGTTTTGGTGTGAACATATTTAACGACACGGATGGAAACACGAATTTTAATATGACTTTCACTCAATTAGAGGACATGGAAAAGTTATTAATTACAATTGTAATTATACAAAATTCTAAAGACATGAAAGATTTTAATCGCGAACTCTTAAGAATTAATGCAGATACATGTAAACTATTCCAAGGCACGTTCAAAAATTATATTGTACGCAACATTTTCAGAGATATTAGAGAAGTTTCCAACGTAAAATTTTCATGTCCTCAACCAAAAGGTTCATTCTACATCAGTGAACTTATATTGCCTGGTTCTATACCGTTTATCGATAAATTTCTAAAGTACGCTTTAGAAGGAGAATTTGAATTAACTTTGCAGTTTCGAGCAAAACCATTCAAAAAGAAATTGACTGACGGTGTTTCCGTGAAACTTTATGGAATTTATACATTTGAATGAAAATTTAACATCTTATTTATGAAAACTTAAAAAATAGATGAATAAATTTTATTTTTTGAATAAACATTCTGAACAAATTTTTATAAATAGATAATTATTTTTCGGTTAGATGATAATGTGATTATTGAAAGAAATCACGAAGGTTTTGCACTAATGGCACTAAGTTCACTCGAAATGTTCAAAAAAAAATTCTTTTTACATTAATACAATTTAAACAGGGATCGGAACTGGTTGATATTTTCGTGTTCATCTGTGTTCATCATGAGTCAATAAATCTCTCCTTACTAAGAATTAAAGTTTATCCACTCAAATGTTTCTTTTGTGTTCACGTTTATGTGCACATTGTTAAATAGAAATTCATCAAGAATTTTTTGAAAACTAAATTTTATTTTTTTCAGAACCATGGTTAAGCGTAAAACAAGCTAGTGCTATCCACAAATTTATTTTTTAGTTCTCTTCTTTAATATTTCTAAATGCCCTTCTTGTGAGTTTTTTCTCATAATTTACTGTTCCACTTATTATTCTTCGTTCAAAGCGAAATTACAAAATGTATTGCAATCATTGTTTGATATTAATTTAAGATAACTATAAATACGAACATCCTTCTGTTCAAATTTAGAAAATATTTAAAATGTTCAGACTTTGTTCATTTTTAACTGTGAAGCAAATCAAACTTAAAAGTAACTCAAGATTATTTAAAGCTTTGAAATGAAGCTAATCAAGTTAATACTTTGTGTGATTCTTTTTTTAGAAATTGCAGTAAGTAACTATTAAAAATGTCACAATTGTTTTCTTTAAATTATTTTTCTTAGGAAGGAAATCAAGGAGCAAAAATATATTGGTCGTCAGTTACTTACACCTCTAATCCAACTTACTTCTCGGATTTTAGTGTGATCATATTTAACGACACAGATGGTGAAACAAAATCAAATGCGACTTTAACTCAAATAGAGGACATGGAAAAATTTATAATCACAATTGTAATTAAACAGAATTCAAGGAAAGACATGAAAGATTTTAATCGCGAACTCTTAAGAATTAATGCAGATACATGCAAATTATTCAAAGGCACATTCAAAAATGCTATCGTACGAAACGTTTTCAGAGATATTAGAGAGGTTTCCAACTTAAAATTTTCATGTCCTCAGCCAAAAGGTGAATTCTACATCAGTGAACTTATATTGCCTGGTTCCATACCGTTTATAGATAAATTTCTATTGAACGCTTCTAATGGAAACTTTGAATTCACTTTGCTTATTCGAGCAAAACCATTCAACAAGAAAATAGCCGATGGTGTTTCTGTAAAAGCTTATGGAGTTTATGTATTTTAATAAAAAGCAAACATTTTTGAAAAATTAACAACAAAGTGAATAAATTCTATTTTTTGATAAACATTCTGAACGAGAGTTAACCCGTGTGCGTACATTGTACTATCTAATATGCATTTTTGTGAATTTTCGTGTTCTAACAGGGGCACACAGAAATCAAAGTTCAGTCAAAGTTTACACATTTTATGTATTTAAGACTATTTGTCGATTTTTATCAATATTTTCAAATGGAACGCGAAGTTTTATCAGCTCTAAATATCCATCTGATAGCGAAAACAAAGTTTTATGTAGTTTTTAATTTTTAAAAATATTTTCAAAAACCATTGTTTTATAAATTTTAATTGGGTGTGTTTGGCAACTCTATGCATGAAAACAAACACTGCGTAATATATGAAAAAAAATAATTTGAAATTGTAGAATAAATCGAGAAAATTCCGATGGGAAAAAGATTAAAACGGGCATTTATGCATTATATGATTAAAATAATACTCTTGTCATGCATCCCGAACCTTACAGTGGCATTTGACATAACCACAAATCTATTCATGGGTCCTTTTTGATCCGTACCCTTTATAAAAGGCATTCCTAACTGTATAGTCAAGTACAGTGGACTCTCGTTATAATTCACGTTTCGAAAAAAACGGGAACAAAATTCTCTCGTTATAATTTTTCTCTCGTTATAATTCCTGTTTTTCCGGTCCCTTCGAAAAAATTATGACGAGAGTCCACTGTACAAGAGATACATTGCTTAATAGAAGTTCATTAAGAACTTATTAAAAAAACTAAAGTTTATTTATTCAGAACCATAATTAACCTTGAAACCAAGCTTGTTTGATAATAATTTAAGATAAATACGAACTTCCTTCTGTTCAAATTTCGAAAATATTTATATTTTATTAATTTCTAACTGTGAAGCAAATCAAACATAAAAAGTAACTCAAGGTTATTTGAAGCCTTAAAATGAAGCTAATCACGTTACAATTTTGCTTGCTTTTTCTTTTAAAATTTTCAGTGAGTAACAATAAAAATAAGTCACAATTGTTTTAAATTTCCGTTTCTCAGGAAGGAAATCCAGAACGAAAAATATATTGGTCGTCAGTTACTTACACCTCTAACCCAATGTACGTTTCGGGTTTTGGTGTGATCATATTTAACGACACAGATGGTGACACGAAATCAAATGCGACTTTAACTCAATTAGAGGACATGGAAAAGTTATTAATTACAATTGTACTTATACAAAACTCCAAGAAAGGCATGAAAGATTTTAATCGTGAATTATTAAGAATTAATGCAGATACGTGCAATCAATTCAAAGGCACATTCAAAAATGCTATTGTACGCAACATTTTCAGAGATATTAGAGAAGTTTCCAACATAAAATTTTCATGTCCTCAGCCAAAAGGTATATTTTATATCAGAGAACTTGTATTGCCTGGTTCTATACCGTTTATGGATAAATTTATAAAGTACGCTTTAGAAGGAGACTTCGAAATGACTGTGCTGATTCGAGCAAAACCATTTAAAAAAAAATTAACCAACGGTGTTTCTGTGAAAGCTTATGGAGTTTTTACATATGAATGAAAAGCAAACATCTTTTGAAAGCTTAACAAATAGATGAATAAATTCTATTTTCTAATAAATATTCTGAACGAATTTTTATGAATAATTACTTTTTGGTTATATGATGATGCGATTGTTGAAAGAAATCACGGAGGGTTCGCTCTAGGATGGTATTGAATTTACTCAAAGTTTCAATATAATTTTAGCAGGGATCGATTTGGTTGATATTTTCGTGTTCATCTGTGTTCACCATGATCCAATAAATCTTTCTTTACTAAGAATTAGAGTTATCTACTCAAATGTTTCTTTTGTGCTCACTTAGTTTAAATGTTGAAAACTTATTTCATATTTCTGCTTCATTAATTAAATTAAAAACTTCGTTGCAAAAAATATTCTTGAAATCATCAAGGAGAACTTAATTGAATGAGCATTCCAAATAGTTTCAACTCAGATCTGTCAATAGTTGAAAATATGTTGTTCGTTTTAAGTTTCCTGATCTCCTTTTAGGTAGAACAAATATTTCTATTAGAGAGGAAAAATAACATGTTCATAGTAGGGTAATCAAACACAGTCCGACGTCATTAAACGTTGATCATGGCAGGATTATCTCTGTTCCTTAATTTTAATTTGAAATGAATAGTTGCAAGAATTTCCTTTTTTGTGAATTAATTTTTTTTTATAATTNACCATAATTAACCTTGAAACCAAGCTTGTTTGATAATAATTTAAGATAAATACGAACTTCCTTCTGTTCAAATTTCGAAAATATTTAAAATATTTATATTTTATTAATTTCTAACTGTGAAGCAAATCAAACATAAAAAGTAACTCAAGGTTATTTGAAGCCTTAAAATGAAGCTAATCACGTTACAATTTTGCTTGCTTTTTCTTTTAAAATTTTCAGTGAGTAAAAATAAAAATAAGTCACAATTGATATATTTTGATTGTTTTGAAACACGTAATAAGTATCACTACTTCTAAAACACTGAACACGAATACCGAACACTTTTATTACTTATTACTTTAACTAAGTTTACCTTATTTATGCGCATTTCGATAGCGCATCGGCTATCATCATCAGAATCTCGATTCGTACTAAGGATTATCTCTCAGTACACGTCAATGTGTGAGTGCAATTTTGAAAAGACTTGACTTTATCGGAGGATCGTCAATGTTCGTCAGTTCCGTTCCATTTTCTATGTACAAACTTTCCCAAGTCAATTATTGAGAAGTCAAATTATTGAATGAAGGTTTGAAATTCAAACCGTTGATGAAGGAACCGCCATATGATGAAATTATTGTGAACATTGAGTCGAGTATCCAGAGTATATGCCAAAATGATAAATCAAGTGTGAGACGCCTGGTAGGAAAAGCACTGGAAGCGGAAGAAAAGCAGCCTAAATCAGCAAATAACATTGAAAAAACTATGAAAAACCTGAGAGAGAAAAAATGCATCTTCACGAAAGCTGATAAAAGCAATGAAGTTGTTATTTTAGATAAACAAAAATATCTCACTTCAATGGAAAATTTGCTCAATGAGAGCCAATATGAAAAAACCAAATTCAGAAGAGAATTTCCAGTGGATAAACTACAAGAAGAAGTTAAGGAGAGTCTGACAGATCTGGTAAGAAGTGGACACGTTTCTGTTGCGGAAAAATATTGCTTGACTGTTCATAATCCAATTTTCCCGAGACTTTATGGATTACCTAAGACTCACAAGCCGGGTGACAAAATGAGACCAATCGTTTCAAATATTAAAGCACCAACTAGTAAAATTGCGTCGTCGTTAGCATTTAAAGCAAAAACTTTTAAAACACCAAACGGATTCAGTATTAAAAATTCATCAGAGTTAATTGAAGCCTTGGAAGGAATTGTTGTAGAAGATGACGAAGAATTGGTCTCATTTGATGTCGAATCACTGTTCCCGAGCATTCCAGTACCTGAAACAATTAATAACATCTCAGAATGGGTCACAGAACAAGATATTTCAAATAAAGAAGCAGAAAAATTCATGGAGTTAACAAAAATATGCATGAAACAAAAGATGTTTAAATTCAATAATGAATATTATATTCAAAAATCTGGCTTGAGTATGGGAAGTGCATTATCTCCATTAGCAGCAAATGTTTTTATGAGCAGATTTGAATGGGAAGCTTCAAAAAATCCTTGGTTTCCAAGATTTTGGAGAAGATATGTAGATGATGTAATAGCAATAATCAAAAAAGGAGAAGTGGCTAACATAGTAAATGAATTGAACCAAATTTCTGAAAATATTAATTTCACTTATGAAACGTCAAGGGACAACAGAATTTCATTTCTGGATTTATGGCTCATAGTGGAAAATAAGAAAATTCAATTCGACATCTACAGAAAACCGCAATTTGTCCAGAGATTCATTCCGAATAATTCTTGTCACCCTCGCTCCTACAAAATGGCAGCGTTTGAAACAATGGCTCATCGCTTATTCAACACCCCATTGAATAAAGACAGACATGAGAAAGAAGAACATTTCATATTGGAAACGGCTGCTATCAACGGCTATAAAAGAGACCGCATCGAAATCATTTTTGATAAACATAGATGGAAGAAGAAAAGAAAAGAGCTCACGACTCTAGAACCACTAAGAAAAGAGAGGAAAATAGCTACATTAAGAAATGGAAAAAATAAAAATATTTTTTGTGAAATTCCTTTCGTTCCCTCTTTGGCATATAAAGTTGAAAAAATTCTGAAAAAACACAACATCAATCCTTATTTTACAACGAATGGAAACTTGAAAGACTTACTTGGAAGCTCCAAAGACAAGATCCCGATGAAAGAAAAACCTGGAATTTACGAAATTAGCTGTGCAAATTGTCCAAGCAAATATATTGGACAAACTTATAGAAGATTCAGCGATCGGTTTAAAGAACATAAGAGATATTTCAGGAAGGGACAAAGAAAGAAATCTGCTATGGCCATGCATTGCATAGATGAAACACACGAAATGGCTGAAGGCAAGATAATCAAAGAAGTAAGAGACGAGAGACAATTGGACGCTTGGGAAAGTTTGTACATAGAAAATGGAACGGAACTGACGAACATTGACGATCCTCCGATAAAGTCAAGTCTTTTCAAAATTGCACTCACACATTGACGTGTACTGAGAGATAATCCTTAGTACGAATCGAGATTCTGATGATGATAGCCGATGCGCTATCGAAATGCGCATAAATAAGGTAAACTTAGTTAAAGTAATAAGTAATAAAAGTGTTCGGTATTCGTGTTCAGTGTTTTAGAATTAGTGATACTTATTACGTGTTTCAAAACAATCAAAATATATTAAAAATTTTGGTCCAATTGAAACATTCTTATTTAAGTTGTGCTTTAACGTAAGATCTTAATTGCTAATTTTATTTATGAAATAAACATTAAAATACATCCCAAATAAAATTTATCCAAGTTTCTTATTGATGTTTTCAAAGATTCCTTTAAGGTGCTGGTTTGCATGTACACGTTGCATAATCCAATATTTCGTCGCCACATGATTCTGAAGTTTCAGTACAATCAGTCTGTTCCACACATTGACAACCCCAAGGATCGAAAACTTCTCCATTGTTGCAATTTTGAACATCACATGTACAACTGCAAACATCGGCATCATAATTCCATCTCGCATTAGGACATTGAACATCACATGTTTCGTTTGTGTTACCTCCTTGAGCTGCAGCTACATCAGATTTAAGTCTTTCGTACCATTCAACAAGTTGATCTGTTCTTTCTTGCACAAATCCTACATCCAGATCGTTAGTGGAATCGTCAACATATTTATTCAAGTCCGGTATTCCTTGTTTTAACGTGTCCAAATTCTCTAGTAGTTTATCCCTTTTGTCTTGGGATACACTAAGAGTATTTATATCATTTCTTAGTCTTTCCAAGTCATTCTCAATATCTGGAAGCCTTCCGTANATATCCACTCAAATGTTTCTTTTGTGTTCACGTTTATGTGCACATTGTTAAATAGAAATTCATCAAGAATTTTTTGAAAACTAAATTTTATTTTTTTCAGAACCATGGTTAAGCGTAAAACAAGCTAGTGCTATCCACAAATTTATTTTTTAGTTCTCTTCTTTAATATTTCTAAATGCCCTTCTTGTGAGTTTTTTCTCATAATTTACTGTTCCACTTATTATTCTTCGTTCAAAGCGAAATTACAAAATGTATTGCAATCATTGTTTGATATTAATTTAAGATAACTATAAATACGAACATCCTTCTGTTCAAATTTAGAAAATATTTAAAATGTTCAGACTTTGTTCATTTTTAACTGTGAAGCAAATCAAACTTAAAAGTAACTCAAGATTATTTAAAGCTTTGAAATGAAGCTAATCAAGTTAATACTTTGTGTGATTCTTTTTTTAGAAATTGCAGTAAGTAACTATTAAAAATGTCACAATTGTTTTCTTTAAATTATTTTTCTTAGGAAGGAAATCAAGGAGCAAAAATATATTGGTCGTCAGTTACTTACACCTCTAATCCAACTTACTTCTCGGATTTTAGTGTGATCATATTTAACGACACAGATGGTGAAACAAAATCAAATGCGACTTTAACTCAAATAGAGGACATGGAAAAGTTTATAATCACAATTGTACTTAAACAAAGTTCCAAGAAAGGGATGAAAGATTTTGATCGAGAATTATTAAGAATTAATGCAGATACATGCAAATTATCCCAAGGTTCATTCAAAAATTATATTGTACGCAACATTTATAGAGATATTAGAGAGTTTTCCAACTTAAAATTTTCATGTCCTCAACCAAAAGGTACATTCTACCTCAGAGAATTTATATTGCCTGGTACTATACCATTTATAGATAAACTTATACCGAATATTTCTAATGGTTACTTTGAATTCACTTTGCTGATTCGAGCAAAACCATTCAAAAAGAAATTGACCAACGGTGTTTCTGTGAAGGCTTATGGAGTTTTTACATGAATGAAAAGTTAAAATTTTTTGAAAAGTTAAACAACAAAATAAATAGATGAATAAATTCTATTTTTCTGATAAACATTCTGAACGCATTTTTAAAAATAATTATTTTTTGGTTAGATCATGATATGATTGTTGAATGAAATCACGCAGGATTTCGCTCTAGGTAGGGTGGTATTGAATTTACTCAAAGTTTTAATATAATTAGAACAGGGATCGAAACAGATTGATATTTTCGTGTTCATCTGTGTTCACCATCAGCCAATAAATCTTTCCCCACTAAATTAAAAAAAAATCATGTAAATTATTAGCGGAAGTAATTTTATCTTAGACAGAAATGATTTAAAGATTTTCTTTTATTTTCCATTATATTCTCCTCCATTATTTTTTACTTTGATCTACTTCTGTTGTTCGCCTGGTTTGCTTAAAATTAACAATTAAAATTGATGTGAAAACTTCAAATTTAATCAAGAAAATGCGTTTAAGAAATCTCATAAAAATTCCGAAATTAAAAATCCTAGAAAATGAAATTTATGCAATAGAAAAGGAAAAGAAAAACTGCAATGCCAACACAGTAATTGAAGTTGAATTAGGCACGGAGAATATGTTAATATTACTTATGCAAGTGTGAAGTGGTATTGCAGTGTTTAAAAAATTAATTAGTGTTTCAGTATTATTCAATTGAAAACTTCTATGCAAAAAATATTCTAGAAATCATTATGAAGAGCTTAATTAAATGAACATTCCAAATAGTTTCAATAAAGATCTGTCAATAATTCAAAATATGTTGTTCGTTGTACATTTGATATATTTTGCTGTTTTTGTTCCTTAATTCTACGTTGATATGAATTATGCCCTTAAAGACAAGTGCATTCGTAACTATATAGTCAAGTTTATGGATATATTTATTCTTCAAAAGAAATTCATTACTAATTTGTTTGAAAGCTAAACTTTATTTATTTAGAAGCATAAAACACTGCTGGTGTTAGTCATAAATTAATATTTTAGTCCACTTCTTTATTATTTATAATTACCCGTTATGTGAAGCATTTCAGAAAGTTTACTGTTCCACTTATAATTGTTTCGTTTAAAGCTAAATTAAAAAATGTACATTGCAAACATTGTTTGATAACATTTTAAGATAAATATAAATACGAACATCCTTCTGTTCAATTTTCGAGAATATTTAATATGTTCATATTTTATTTATATCTAACTGTGAAGCAAATCAACATAAAAAGAAACTCAAGGTTCTTTGAAGCCCTAAAATGAAGCTGATCAAGTTACAATTATGTCTGACTCTTTTTTTAAAATTTGTAGTAAGTAACAACAAAAATAAGTTACAATTTTTTTCTCAAATTTTTTTTTTGTCAGGAAGGAAATCCTGGAGCACAAATATATTGGTCCTCAGTTACAAACGCCTCTAACCCAACGTTCTTCTCGGATTTTAATGTGAACATCTTTAACGACACAGATGGTATCACGAAACTCAATTTGACTTTTACTCAAATAGAGGACATGGAAAAGTTTATAATAACAATTGTAATTAAACAAAATTCCAAGAAAGGCATGAAAGATTTTGATCGCGAATTGTTAAGAATTAATGCCGACACGTGCAAACAATCCCAGGGCACATTCAAAGATTATATTGTACGCTCCATTTATAAAGACATTAGAAAATATTCCACTGTAAAATTTTCATGTCCTCAGCCAAAAGGTACATTCTACCTCAGAAAATTTATATTGCCTGGTTCTATACCGTTTATGGATAAATTTCTAAGGAATGCTTTCAGAGGATATTTTGAATTCAGTTTTCTGATAAGAGCGAAACCATTCAACAAGAAATTAGCCGATGGCTTTTGTGTGAAAGTTTATGGAGTTTATTCATTTGAATGAAAAGCAAATATCTCTTGAAAAATTAACAAATAGATGAATAAATTCTATTTTCTGATAAAGATTGTGAACGCAATTTTATGATTCATTATTGTTCGGTTAGATGACATGATTGTTGAAAGAAATAACGGAGGTTTTGCCCTAGGGCATTGAACTCACTCAAAAATTTCAAAAAAAAAATTTGCCTAAATTTTTAAAGAAGGTATCGAAACTGTTTGAAATTTTCTTGTTCTCCTGTTCTGTTGAATATATTAAATGAAAAATCAGAAAAGTATTTATTATGGATTAGGGTCAACAATTCAATCTACCTTTACTAAATTAATAATAGAATCATCAATTGAAATCTTAAGGAATATAATTCCATCTTAAAGAAAAATAAATAAAAGACGAAATGTTCTCCATTGAAAACTTATTTTATGTTTCAAATTCATTTATTTAATCGAAAACTTCTTTGTAAAATATTCCAGAAATCATCGAGGAGAACTTAATTTAATGAATATTCCAAATAGTTTCAACTCAGATACTCAAATACTTAGTTTTAAATTATGTTGTTCGTTGCTAAGATATCCTTATATGTAGGTAAAACAAATATTTTATTAGAGAGGAAACGAAATGTCATACATAAGTAGTAGGGTAGTCATGTGGTAATCAAACACAGCCCGACATCATCAAACGTTGATCATGGCAGGATTATCTCTGTTCCTTAATTTTAATTTGAAATGAATAGTTGCAAGAATTTCCCTTTTTGTGAATTAAATTTTTTTTATAATTTACTGTTCCACTTATCATTGCTTCGTTTAAAGGTAAATTACAAAATTTTTTGCACACATTATTTGATAATAATTTAAGATAACTATAAATACGAACATCCTTCTGTTCAAATTTCGAGAATATTCAAAATGTTTATACTTTGTTCATTTCTAACTGCGAAGCAAATCAAACTTAAAAAGTAACTCAAGATTATATAAAGCCCTAAAATGCAACTGATCAAATTAAAATTTTGCCTGATTCTTTTTTTACAATTTGCAGTAAGTAACTATTAAAAATCTCACAATTGTTTTCTCTAAACTCTTTTTATCAGGAAGGAAATCCTGAAGCAAAAATATATTGGTCGTCAGTTACTTACACCTCTAACCCAACGTACGTCTCGGATTTTAGTGTGATCATATTTAACGACACAGATGGTGACACGAAATCTAATATGACTGTAACTCAATTAGAGGACATGGAAAAGTTTATAATCACAATTGTACTTAAACAAAGTTCCAAGAAAGGGATGAAAGATTTTGATCGAGAATTATTAAGAATTAATGCAGATACATGCAAACTATCCCAAGGTTCATTCAAAAATTATATTGTACGCAACCTTTTCAGAGAATTTATAGAGGTTTCCAACTTAAGATTTTCATGTCCCCAGCTAAAAGGTACATTCTACCTCAGAAAATTTCTATTGCCTGGTTCTATACCATATATGGATAAATTTCTTCGGAATACTGTCAATGGATACTTTGAATTCACTTTGCTTATTCGAGCAAAACCATTCAAAAAGAAATTGACTGACGGTGTTTGTGTGAAAGCTTATGGAATTTATACATTTGAATGAAAAGCTAACGTCATTTTGAAAAGTTAAAGGTGGTGTATGAATCACGAACTCTACAGAGGACTTGCTCTGGGGTGGGATTGAATTCACTCTAAATTTCAAAATAAAAAATTAAAGAAGAAGAGATGAACTGTTCCTTCTCCATTATTCTATAATTTGACCTAACTCTGTTTCTCGACTGGTTTGTCAAGAACTAACAATTGAAGCAGAAATATTAAGTTTGAACCTTTTTAAATGTAAAGAAGAGATTATTTCTGTTTGTTTGCAATTTACATTGTTTATCTTAAAACTAGATCAAACATTGCATTACAAGCGGAAATCAATTTTGTAATTCAACTATTAACTAATTTGATTTGGATATTATACATTAGTTGTAATTTTTAATATATTCAAATCAGACTGTTGATGGTAGGAATAACTAAATCACGTTAAGTTTCCTTTCGCCGTGACTTTTTCTGTCATACATAGCGCCATAATGAGAACCCTGTAACATAGATTTCTTACCTACTCTGAAGTATAAATTGTTAGGTAAATTAATAAATCTTTGATCACATCAATGACGGGAAAGAATGTTAAACAATTTTATTTTTAAATTAAATATTAAAATACAATGGCAAACCGATCATCCTCAATTCAATTACTGCCATTCATGTCAATGATACAAACATAAAAATGTTAGCAAATGCTGGAACTTGTAAAGTAGACACTTAGCATCATGCAAAAACTGCAAACGCCTTGAAAGATTGCTTCACGTTTTAAAAAAAACTGCAATTTCTAACTTCTCAACATGTTTCTAACTGTTTTGTGGTGCTTTTCATTCCCAATTGTTTGTCTCAAGGTAACACATTCTTAAAAGCCAGTTTATAAGGCTAATAAATAAATTAAGTGCTTTTCTAAGTTTCAACGTCTGTCAGTGCAGTTTCGAAAAACAATTTTCGTGTATTTTAAAAATGTGAAAATCAAACGCTAGTCGGAATAACAGAAAAAGCATGAAATCAAACTTTCAAAGATCATTCACGACACAATTTTACAAACAACAATTTCATATACAAATAGAACTGATGTGAATTAAACAATACGATGATAGATTAAGCGCATGTCGGTTAAGCATCCTCATTTAATCTAACTGGTAAAATAGTCAACACAATTCAACATGAATGGAATCAGAGACAAGTTAGTGTCCAAAGCGTCACATTTCTCATAAATGATTTCCTTTACATTTGGTTTATATTTCAAACAATGTTCTCAAATATGAAAAGGAGACGTGACTTAACAAACTTGAGATCAGACAAAAAGTTGTCTCGTTAAAATATGCAAAAAGCATTTTTTAACGTTGAATTTCTGACGGTTTGTATTAATATTTAATAGTTTTATGCTAATGGTCATGTTCATGTCTCCGTGAAAAATATTAATATTTGTTGTTTAAAAAAACAAACTCGAGCAGTGGAAAATCTCGATTTGAATTAAAGTCACTTCAAATGATGTGACGATATTCAGCCATGCAGAAATGCGCAAATTTTTAATTGATGGTCTTAAAGCGATTTTAATGAATTAGCCTTGATCTTGATTTTGTATTTTCGGAACTGCATCCGATGAAAAAAAGAAACAAATCTTCTCTTATATGAATCAATTTCGGAACAACACTTCGCGGATAACACGTTTTAATATATTCGAGAGAAGTCAACGAACCGAAACTTGTTTCTGTTTGTTAAATGAATGAGAGGGACTAATAATTCATGTGGCTGATATAACGTTGCATCGACATCATTTGCTATCAATAAATAAAGAAGAAATGAAGGAAATTGATACTTGTAGTCTTGTCTTATGATCCGATGACTGTGTTATGTAACATAACAAGATTTTCATCGTGGAAGGAATTATAATTGACTTGTATATTTACGTTAAAACATTTTACCAATCATATAAAATCGCTGAAGAAATGTTTTATTAAAAGTTTCTGAATTTCTGAGAAGTTAAACGTTTTTTAAAATTCTGAAAGGAATTATGTTGTGGATCCACATAATTATCTTTGGAAAATTATGGACAAGAAGCTTAATAAAATTTGTTAACAAAGTAAACGACGAACGAAAGCATTACCTAAAATGGAGTTCAATGATAAAATTGTTCAACATTTAAGAAACTTGACTTTCGATCATTTTAAAATCTGAAAGATGTAAAATAAGTTTGTTATTCAACTCGCAGTTTACAGTCTACTTTAGAAGACGATTTCGTTTTAATTGTTTTCCGGCAAATCTTGAACTGATCTTGATTAACTACTATTTGTTCAGATATCTTCATTACAAACAGCTTGAAAATATCTTTCATTGCTCAATTTGATGAATAGAAATGACTAAAGAAAAAAAAGTTAATTTGCGTAAAAGAAGTGTATGCTAAGTAAAATTTCAACATAACAAACGCCCGAGACCGAAAGTATTGCGAAATCAGTTTAAGAAAATCTTGTAACTAACTCACTTGAATTGAATTCAAAAAAGTGTTTAACAAATAACAATGAACTATTAGATTACAAATCGTGAGAATCGCGACGTTTCAACGACGTCCCACGAAGAAGATGATATTAAACTTTCTCAAAGACTTCACAACAGCATTCTCCAGCTTAATTTATTTATTTACACGGTTCATATATATTTTTTGGGCAATGAATCGTTTCAATCCAAAAATTATTAAGTCGGTTTTATCACTTTTTAAAGTCTGATAAGTCATAAATTTAAAATAATTTTACAGTGCACTATTAACACCTGCAGATAATCTTCAGTTGAAAAGATGAAGCATCTTCTTAGTAATTCAAGGATAAAATGAAAAATGGCAAGAACGCATATCACTTGCTGTGATTGAACCTTTTGACATTTTATCTGTTCACAATTAGATATTCATGAACTTGAAGTAATGCTTGATGAATTTTATGTCAGTAATTAATCATTTTTTTAACGATCATTCAAAGACCTGAAGGAAAATTTAATATTTACTTGTAACATATCATTGCAACTGCCTATTTGATGTCAGATATTGACGTGTGACTTGCCGCTTTGATCTTAATTTAAGATAATAATTAAATTAATCACAGGACAATTGATTTATCTTTCAATGTAATTTATTTGATTAACAATTGTCCGTTGGCTATGTCGATGTTTAGCGTCTAAGCGCTTTATTAACAACTAAAATCTCATGAAATCTTCAATTAGACAATTTACTACAGTCGCAACCGTGACTTCACAAATCATTTATCTAAGATATCTGAGAAAAACGAGTTAATAATAATAATGTAAGCTTAATGAATTGTTAAAGAATGAAGAGAATTCTTCACGCAGATTGTAAAGTTTCATCAAAGTTTGCAACTTAAGTAATTGCTTGAGAACCGACCTAAAAAGCTTTTTTATTACGAAAAACAAAAATTGCTTTAAACTTGAATCGAAATAAATAACTGACAGGTTTTCATTGTTCCTTTTATGCACTTGCTTCTTATTTACTGCTCCATGATTTATGTGCATTTAAGAGGTTTAAAATTTGCCAGTAATTCTTAGCTGAATCTTGTGAAAGATAAATCAAGCAGACATATCGTCATCAATTTATTAATATTTTGATTGAATACCAGTCAGATTTAGAGTAAAGTTTTGTTTTCAAAAATGCCGACAATTTCTGTATTGCGTCTATGTAACAAAAATCACGATGTTAGGAATTTAAAGTTTAGGGAGTGGAATAATTTAAGGAATTTACTTCACGATTAAATTACATTTACAAACAATACCCATTTGACCATAAATATCTACGTAACCTAACAATGCATGAAATAAATTATATCGCTTAAAATAAATGATTTAATGTGATTATTTATTGTGTGATTGAAAGAAAATAAATTTACACAATTTCATCTGGTGACTTTTAGATATACATTAAAACCATTTTGTTTCTCGATTTATGTCTTTTTTGTTTTGTTTTGTAATGGGCACGACTTTTGTTTCATCATCTTAAAATGAAAAACTCATCGTAGATCAAAGATTTCACTCGATTTAAAAAGAATTAAGCCATTAAGTAAGAAGGAGATGACCGGACAGTTTTTCCAGTTAGATAAAGTTAATTTTCTGAATGTGCAATAGAAATAAAAGTAAAATGTAAGTTCATGTTTCTCGCAATTTCTCATATCTTGAATCTTGAAGGCAGTTTTCTTGAGCGATTTCTTTGTTTCCAATTAAACAACATGAAATGACTTGATGGACCGTGACCTAAAATATTGACAACATAAACGTGCACATAATGTCGTCGGTAGCGAGATAAATCTTGTGAACGAATAAAAAAATATTTCGAAGATGAAACCTTTAAATGATGATACCGTGAGATAAATTCGCGATCTTTGGGAATTTTAAGCTAATAAAAGATTTACAAATGAAAGTTCATCGCATACCTGAAGCTAAACAAAATGAAGCCAATCGATCGTGCAACTTTACCAGATGATTAAAGGAAAGCAAATATAATCTTCGTTTCATAATAACCTGGTTCGTTGAGTTCGCATAGACATTCCATTGATTATAGCGAAAATATAAACAAGATGAGACTTTAACGATTTTGAGCAGACGATTTCAGCAGCGTCTAAAATGATAAATTCATTCGTGATTTGAGATTTGACTTACTTTTATTTCTCTCATTCCTCGTTTCATAGCAATCTGAAATCAAAATTATTCCGCGAATGTTCAAGCCAAAACATTTCGAAACATAAACGACCAGCTTTGTCCGGAAAGTAAATTTAAAATGAATGAAGATCTTCAAATTGAAATTCAATTTATGCTGCAATAAAAGTATGCTCGTTTCCATGTCTTATGTTTTGACATCGATGACAACTACCTTGAAGTTAAAAAGCAATTTGAAATATCATGAGATGTTCACTGATTGGCATGCAGTTAAATTTAGCGTGAAACTCTATCGCACAGCCAGTCGATAAAATAAGAAAACGCCAAAAATACGCCAACAGCCGATCGATAGATTCATAAATTTATTGTGTTATATTTATGACTTCATTTTTTACATGTCTTGCCAGGTGTGTGTTAAAATTTGAATGTTTCATACTCGAAAATCAATCAATCATAGCATTGATGTTTATGGTTCAAGTTGGTAATTGGCGAGTCAGACGGAAACTCATTCATGAAAAACTTTTAAGCACCAACAAAGCACTTAACAAATGTTTTTCAAAGTTTCTTTTAAATTTTTCTGACAAGAAAGGTCTTGATCTAAACCACAAACAACATTTTTCAAATGAAACTTTTTAAATGATCAGACATTAGTTGCTTAAAGGAATTTTTATGAAATTCAAGGAAAATAACATAAAGTTATGTATTCAATAACCCTTTGAAATCATTTTATGCATGAAACTACTTATTACTCAAGAGTGAAAGAGCTTTCAACATTGCAACGAAAATTAATTAATCAATGCAATAAGCAAATGCGGTCGTCATTTAAAACGATTCTGTTGACGTTTATCACGGGTGTGTTAAGGAATTGAATTTCATTATTCAAATCTTCGATGATCCATAATGATCGTACTTTCATTATTGTTTTTCCACAATAAATTCCTATTCAGATTATTAGTCAACGAAGCCAACATCTTGAATATTAAATATTCTGTGAAATTAATTTAAATGATAATCAAAATGGTTTCTCTTAGCAGCAGTGTCAACGAGACAACAAATTGTCATTTATCTGATGAGTTATTGCGCACGATGATCATCATTATCACTTCGGTGTCTTCGTTTCATCAAAACGAGAGAATCAAAATTTATGTTTTCAACTTGAAGTTAAGTCATGGAAGTGTTTATAGAATTTCATGGGCAATCGTTTAAGTAACTGAAAGACTTGTGATGGTTTTAATCGATCGAAAAGTGTTAATTCATTGGTACATAAGCATTTAAAAAGAGAGATAATTGATCTCCTTGGAGTTCTAAAGTTATTCCTCAATTTGTTGATCATCACTTGAAGCAAACATTCTTCATAAGTTGTTTGTAATTAATATGAAGATCATTGTTGTGATGTATCATGTTTTAAAGTGAAATAATATCCAACCAATGAATATATTTGGAATTTCTGTTAACAAGTTTGATTTGTTTGGATATTTTATGAAAGATGATTATGCAATAAAAATGAAAAAGCTGATTTGCAATCGCTTCGCGCACTCTTTGTTCTCATAATCTGAATCGAACAAGGTCGTAACAATAATATTTCTGGTGATATCACCAAAAAAGTGATAATACATACAATTCCATAGCTTGGCATTCAGGAATTAGAAACTGTGTTAAGGAAACTAAAAAATGAAACTATAGAAAAAAAAAACTTTTAGTCATCTCATGTCGAGTGTGGAACAAAAAGTGGTTTTGAATCAAAACTGAAAAATAAAATTTGACAAAAGTTCGATAGCTTAGAATTCTTAAACTCTAAGAACTCATTAGAATGGTAATGAATGTCTTCAAACGTTCACGATCTTTGCTTAACTGATAACAAAAAAAAAGGAATTAAAATAATTTAGAAACAAAACTTGAATTTCAAAATCACAGCTGAAACCTGTCGCTTGTGCCTCCGCTACTACTATCTAGTTTCAAGCTGACCCGCGAAGTGGAAAGCAACGTTATTCGATATTAAAAACATCTTCTCGTGGTAAATTGAAATCAGTATGGTATGTGAAACTTCAGCAGCATAATTGAATAATCATTACGTAATTGAGATTCACATGTGAGTGGTAACAGGTCATTAGGTATTTATGAAAGAAAAACAGAGATATTGAAAGTATTTGAGACATTTTTTCATTGCGGAAGCCTTGAAGCGTTTCATTTTGTCCGCAACATACCATGTAAATGTCCTTGCATACAAGTAATTACCTTTCAAACGGCCGATTAATTAGATTAAGGTGCGTAAATTATGGGCGTGAGTGGAGAATTGAAGCTGAAATTATTATTTATTGGAAAAACAGTGAACTTGCATGACTTTTTATTATTGTTTGTGATTTGAATTGACTCAAACAAGCATAAGGTTGAACACGTTGTTTATCTAAAAAGAATCTTGTGACTCATTCTTATGTTAATTTCATTGAATAATTTTGTTTTTTCCTTCTTTCTTTAGTTGAATTCTTGCCGAATAAACTCATTAACTCATTGAAATGGAGTTCCTTTTATACATTTGTTTATGTTTAACACGTGAGTATTCTCCATCAATCAACAAACAACATAGTCATTCATTTTTTACAATTATTTTGTAAAGTTTTTTCCGGCACACGAGCTGATGACTCCGAAGCTTTAAAGGAGGCCGCTATTGTGCAACCAACTGCCATTGTTAATCCCTTTGTGACACAAAATGTATACGGCTTTGCTGATTTCACAACAACTATTGGCAACACCGTCATGATCTTTTCACCTTCTTCAATTCCAGCTGTGCCTGGTAAGAGCTTAAGTGCATCAATTTATTTAAACGCTTTTTTCTCTCTTCTTCTTCTTTTCTTCATTAAATTATATTTCTGATTCATTTTATTTTTCTGTGTCATTTCACAGAACCAGTAAAAGAAGAAACAACAACAAAAGCGGCGATTGAAACTAAACCAATAACAGATGCGCCAAAACAAGAAGTTATTGATATTCAACCGACAAAACCAGTCTCTGAGCAAACATCAGAACAAAAGGCGCCTGTAGTTTCAAGCAGTGCTATTGAAGTTATTTCACAAGAGCCAATTCCAACACCAGCAACAAAGAAACCGAAGAAGAAGAAAAATAAAACACCATCAACACCGAATCCAATGCCATTAACAGTTCAAGCAATCACTGCCATAACGCCTGAACCACCAAAAGTTGTACTTTCATCAAAAGTTGAGGTTGTAGAAGATAAGAAAGAAAACAAGTTCATTGTCGAACCTGAGAAGACAATTGAAAGTGAACCAGTGGTTTCAAGTATCGTTGAAGTTTCCGACAATGATGAAGAGTCAGAAGTTGTTCTCCAAGAAGGCAACGCAATTATTGAGCCCGAATATGACTTTCTCAGTCGACAACCAACGGAATTTGTTGAAGAAACTTATCGTGTTGTAAACTTGAAGCCATCTGTGTTGAAGAAACCAAAAATAGTTTCAAAAACTTCTGCTAGAAATAACGATCAGAATCATCCAACAGGTCTTGTAACAAAATCTGGTGGAACAATTGTAAACGGAGGATTAACGACTGTCCATGAAACGAGTGTTATTGGCACATATATCTCGGGAAAATATGCACAAGTTCTTCAAAGCACATCACAAATATTCCCAGGAAATGCAAAGGCCAAAATTCAGCCAAGTTCAACACTTCGCATTCTTAAAACTGCTGCACCATCATTCAATAAGACTCCAAAATATACGTCGAATGAAGATGATTATCAAGCAGAAAGTTATTCAAGTCATCCACGAACAACAAAACGACCTGCAGCAAACGGATACAAAAATCGCTATCGCAATCGTGAAGAACCAACTGAAGAAGTAACTTCTGCGCCATCTGCACCAGTTAATCCTTATACAAGTGGAAAAAAATCCATTTCTGGTAGACGTAATGGAAGCGGAAAGAATAAAAAGTAAATTGAACTTGAATTAGGGGGGTGTGAGCGTTGAAAATGTTTTTTAATTGCAATTTTTTTCGCCTTTGTTTATTTTTTTGTTTCAGTTTACGGCAACAAAATCGAGCTCAGGAAGTTGCAACCGTGTCAGCAGAACCAGCTGGATCTTATAGTAGTCGTCGTAATAAATCGACAAGACCAGGCTTCAAACCATCGACAGTCAACGCACAACAGGTGATTGCGACATCTGAGCCAAACTTTAGCCGACGCACGTATAAGCAGAAAATTTCTCCTTCAAATGTCGAACAACAAGAACAACAATCAACATCATTATACAAGTTCAAATTGAACCGAACACCAGGACGTTGGCAATATAAAACTACACCAAAACCGCGTGTGACGATCAGAAAACACGGAAGCTCGACAAATGAAATTGCAAAGGAGTCACTTGAACAGCTTGCAGCGACGCCTCCAACTGACGCTAACGGTAATGACATTCTTCAATCACGTGTTGATTTAGATGTTGATCTTGATGGTTCGGGATCTGTAAATGGTGATGTTTTAGATGATGAAGCAACTGGTGCTGGTGACAATAAACTCGAACGTAAACTTCCCATTGAAACAATTAAAGTGGAAATTTCAACGCCAGCTGACTTTAGTGACACATACTACGAAATTGCCACCATCAAAAGCCCTTACACATTCCAAGTTGGAGCTAATAAAAATACTCGTTACATCACAGTCACTTCAACCTTTGAGAAAACACTCGACCCGGAACCCACATCAACAGCTATTTTAACTGAACCTTTGACAGAAAATATTTTAGCAACAACATCGCATTTAGACAAGGAACATAATCTTCTCGATTCATCAATTGCAACACTGCCACCAATTTCTCTTGGTGAAGATCAGGCAACACCACCACTTGAGACTTTGACTGAAACCTTCAGTACAACTCAAGTGATGTTGAAGACGCACATTCTTCCGGTGATTCGTGCTGCTGGAAACACAACAAGTTACCCACTTATTCAAACTTATCATGTTACTCGTCTCGTGACAGCCACGAAAACTTTGCCACCCATGGAAGTTTATCATTTCGTTCCATCACGAACTTTAAATGAATTCAACACAAAACTTGATGAAGCTGGTTCGGAACTTCATCTTGAATTAGAGTTCGGTGATGAGAATGAACATGATGAAGAAGATGAACCAAGACGTGTTGCACTGCCCGATGATTTGAATTTGGAAAATATTGGATCTGATTTTGATATATCAGAAGTTGATCGTTCTAAAATTCCAAACACGACGAGAAGACCAAAACCAAAACCTACAACAGAAAAACCTAAAGAAGCTAATCCATTGGGATTGACACCAGATCAATTAGCTTTATTGAGATTATTGAACCCTGGGGCAATACCAAATGTCATTACAACTTCCAAGCCTGTAGTGAAAGTCGAGACTGTTTATGAATCTCACGTGCTGCCGATTGTGAATGGTGCAAGTACCATTTTCAGCACTATCTCAAGACCTATCGCTACCGTGACGAAAACAAATTATGAAATTGGCACATCAATCTTAGCACCCGTGACACCACCACCAATTAATCCGCTTCTTCTGCAACAACAACCACAACAGCAGTTCCAAATCCAATCAACGCCAGTTGTTCAGCAGCAAATTGTTACGCAAACAGACTCGAAGGTGCTTAAATTGACATTCGGTGCACGTACTGCATACACGACATTGTACAATACAAGAGTGGTTCCAACAATGGTCACAAGCTATTTGACGCAATCGATACCACTTCAACCTTCAGCTTTCCCTGGTTACTTCCCAGCCCCTTATCCACAATTCCCATTTGTCGGTTAAATGAATTTCAACTAAAAGTTTACACATCAAACATTTGTTCAATTATCATTCATAGCCACATCAATACACCTACATACACACACTCATTTGTTCATGGAAATACTCATACACACAGCCTTTAATTTGTAAGAGATTTTTTTTTGTTTATATTTAGTGTAATATGAGTTTCGAGTAGGTAGGCGAACGATTTTCTTTTTTTAGATAAGGGATGATAACAGATCATGTATTCACAAAAGTATAAGTTCAAACAAAGCTCAGCTTTTGCCTTCTTCGTTTCCTTCATTTTCTTCATTTCCTTCCCTCTTATCATCAACATAAGATGACATGACATAAACATTCTATAAATTTTCTTTGGCTGTTTATTCTTGTTGTAAATTTATTTCAAATTAAACTTAAATATAAATACAATTCTTGACCTAATTGAAAATACAAAATTATTTTCGAATAAAATAGTTATTTTTACACAACATTCCAACAAATTTTATGCAGCTGGATTGTATACAAAATAAATATCTTTTAAATAAAGAAAATGAAATTTCTATTGTTTCATGTTAAAGATGTTTGTATTTTTCTTATTATTTTTATCAAGGGGTAAATTACGAACAGCTGTTGTTGTCGGAGGCAATTTTCCTGTTAACAGAATTAAAGAAGTCTCACAGTGTAAATAACGAAGCGTCATAGACTATTTAAAAAAAATTCCATTATTGAGATAAATTTGACGAGATGGGCCAGAAGTTTGATCAAGAAAATGTCAAAAAAGTCAACAAAAATGCTAAAAAAAGAACGACAAATGCACAAACATCAACACCAGGTAAATGAATATCATTGATGAGTAATTCAACGTTGAATTTCACAAGTTTTAATAAATCCCAAAATACTGACAATGGAAATTATCAACATGATTATTTTTTGCTTTCGCATGGTTCATCTTGTTGCTGTTCACAAACATCCATGCTTTCAGATCTTTGACGAGTTTATTCTTTCAAAGAAAGTTAAAAAAAAAACAATTTCAATTGAGTACAAAATAATAATAGATATGTGGATTCTAATATAGGTAATAATTAGTTCCTGCTACAAAACACCTGTCTACACATCACATGAGATCGAACGAATCAATTCGATGAGAAATTTTTATTAAAAATTCCACCCGGCTTTACATTTATTTTATTTTGTGTGTAAGTAGATCCTAGAATAGATGGAAGAATGCTTTGAATATTTTATAAAATTTAAGATTCAAAAACGAATGCATAGGTAATTAGGTAATTATACTTGATAACATGTTTCATTTACAGCGTTGTTTCATAGGTTTTTTACAATTTCATTTATTTCAATTCTATGATAAAATATTAATTTTGCACAGTTTTGTCCTTGTACAGTCGTTCTCGCTTCGGCAGAACATACTAAAATTGGAACGATACAGAGGAGATTAGCATGGCCCCTGCGCAAGGATATCACGCAATATCGTGAAGCGTTCCACATTTTATTCAAATTTTCCCAAGAAAATTTTAAAGATTTAGCTATGTATGTACTTATTCCTGATGGTTATCAATAATTTTCAAAATATCCAAAAAAAACTTTATAAAACTCTTCATAAATAAGTAAACAAGAATATCACATTATATTTTTGAAAAATTTTATTTTT